GCATCAATCCATCCATCCCTGCATCCATCTATCCCTGCATCCATTCATTCACCCATCCCCACATCCATCCATACACCCATCTATGAACCCATCTATGCATCCATTGCACGTCAGCACTCAAAGAACGCAACTGGCACCGCAGACCCGCGTTCGCAAACCCTGAAGTGCCATTTCCGCGCATTCACGGCGTGCGTGTATGTGTGTGTGTGTTGTGTGTGTGTGTGTGTGTGTTTTGGTTGTGTGTGTGTAAAAACCTGGGTCAATCATTCCCCCTCTCCCCCCCGCCCTCCTATGCACCCACCCCATCTGGCCAAGCAGGGGCCCGGCGGGACCTCGCAATCGGGCGACGGGGGCCCGTTTGCAAAGGACAGCCCCCACCCACCCCCACGCATCTACCCGAGCTAGAAAGCGGGCAGGAGGAGCGCAACGCGCGGAGCGGGGCGGGGGTTGGGCGGGGGTTGGAGGCTCCCATCCCAGGCTCGGGGCGCCGTGCGAACTGGGGGCCTTTTGTCGAGGCGGAGCCAAAAACGCCGATCCGCCGGCAGGGGGCGGTGGGGCCAGGAGCCTCGCCTGCTTCTGCGGCTCCGCCATTAATCCCAGCGCCCGGCCGGCGGGATCGGAGAGAAGGAGAGGTGGGGGGGAAAAAAAGGAGCGTCGGAGCCGTCGGGTCGGATCCCTTCCCCACCCCGGAAAAAATAAATAAAAATAAAAACCCGGCAATCGGGGCTCCTCTGCCCGGCTCCGCTTTCAAAGCCGGGGACGGCCGGGCGCCAGCGGGGTCGAGCAGCCGCCGAGATTGCAAGGTACGCCGCCGGGTCCCTTCGCGTCCCCGTCCCCCCCCACCACCACCTTCCCCGGAGGGCCGGACGCCGCCTGGGCCCGGCCTTGCTGCGCTGGGCCCCCGGGAACCGGAGAAGGGCCCGCACCGCCTCCTCCGCCGCGCCCTGGAGCCGGCGGGGCTCGGGGAAGGGATCCCGGGGACGCCGCAAGCCGCCTGCGATCTCGCTTTGCGCTCCCGGAGGGATCCGCTTTGCGCCTCGCGAAGGGTCCGTCGCGGGACAAAAGGGCGGGCGGGGTGAAGGGTGAAGGGATCTTTGTTGTCCGCCATTCCGCCTTTTTGCTTTTTCCGCCGGCCCGTGTGGCTGCCGGGCTGAGGAACCGGCAAGAGGAGGAGAAGGAGGAGGAGGAGGCGTGGTTAACGCTGGGAAAGGAGACCACGAGGAAATGCCCGGGCTGCAGGTTAGGCTGGGCAGTTGTGGTGGTGGTGGGGAAAGGGTCCCAGAAGAAGGCCGTGGCGAATCTCTCCCCCTTTTTTTTCTTTTTAAACTTACATGTCCCAGGACTGTATGGGAAGCCTGGATTGAAATCAGGAATCTCCCACTCCGTTAAGTGGGAAGGGACCTTGGAGGTCATCTAGTCCGACCCCCCCTGCTCGAACCAGAAATCACAGAACAGAATAACCAAGAGTTGGAAGGGACCTTGGAGGTCCATCTAGTCTTAACCTTTCGGACCTGAGGGACCACTCAATTCATAATTTTAAATCCCGTGGACCACTAATAGGATCTGCCTGATGGCCGGTTGGGTGGGCCTTGGCTAGGTGGTCGTGTGAGTGGGTGGCTGGGTGAGTGTGGCCAACTTGATGTCACTCACATCAAGGGGCTCCTTGCGGGTGTCTACTCGCCTCTCCCCTCCCCTCCCAGCCCCTCCTCGCCTGCCCGCCCGGGGTTCCTTAAGGCCCTAACAGGAAGCAGTGGCTGGAACTAAGCAGCCACCACGAGAGAAAAAGTTGGCAAAAAAAAAAGTCGGCTTAGTCCAAATTGGATCTGACCGAGAAGGAGGCTCAGCAGAAGCACCTCACTGAGGACTACGAGCATAGGCTTTCCAAGCAGAGGGAAGACCTGCGGGAGTGCGAGGCCACGTACCGGCGCCTGGAGGCTCAGTGGGCTGAGATGCTCAGCCAGTTCCAGGCCAGGAAGTGGCCCCACTGGAATAAGGCCCTCCGGTTCTTTGCCACCAGTGGCCCTTCCCTCCAGCCTTCGCCCAAAGCCCCACACCAGGAGGCCGAAGCAGACCCCAAATAGGAGTTTCTGCTCCCTCTCCGACCTGCACAAAAAGACCCTGAAGCGAGAAACTTTGCAACAACGCAAATATTCATTGAACATATCCAGCCGAAGTTTGAGGAGCCCTGATTTAGTGCAATATAAAAAAAATGCAAGTAATTTTTCTGCGGACCGCCAAAATTTGATCATGGACCACCAGTTGGGGACCACTGATCTAGTCCAACCAGCAACCTCCTCCCCCTGCCCAAAGCAGGAGACCCTACACACCATATCAGACAAATGGTGATCCAATCTCTTCTGAAGATGGAGGACCCACAACTTCCAGAGTTCGATTCCTTTCACAGATCAATTGTTTGGGAAATGCCTCCTTATTTCTACATTAGGCGTCTCCTTGATTAGTTTCTATCTGTTGCCTCTTGTCTTCCCTGCAGGTGCTTTGGAGATTAGATTATTGGCCTCTTCTTCCTTGTGGTAGCCTCTTAGATATTGGAACATTGTTATCCTGCCTCCTCTAGTTCGTCTCTTCGTTAGACTAGACCTGTGATGCTGAACCTACGGCATGTATGCCACAGGTGGCACATAGAGCCATTTGTGCAGGCACACGAGCCTCAGCCAAATTTACCTGCACCACATGCGCCTCCCAGCTGATTTTCGGCCTATTTGAGGCCGCTTTCACCCTCTCGGAGGTTTGAGGGAGGACTTGGCAACCTCAGGAGGCCGAAAAATGAACCTTCCGGAAGTGCTGAAATGGGCCTGTTTTCAGCCTCCGGAGGCTCCAGAGGCTTCCCTCGAGCCTCCAGGAGGTCGAAAACGGCCTCCCTCGGGCTCCGGAGGCTGAAAACGGGCACTTCCGGTATTTCCAGAAGGCCCGTTTTTCAGCCTCCCGAGGCTGCAGAGGCTTTTGTCGAGCCTCCAGGAGGGCAAAAACGGCTTCAAACGGGCCGAAAATAAGCTGGGAGGTGCGCACATGCGCAGTGCAGGTAAGGGGGCGGGGCAGTGGTGTTGCATGCGCAGGGAGCAGGGCGCATTGTATTGTGGGTGCCGGCACACACATGCGCTATTATGCACATGCGCGCTTTCGGCACACCACAACAAAAAGGTTCGCCATCGCTGGACTAGACAGACCCAATTCCTGCAACTGTTCTTCATATGTTTTAGCCTCCAGTCCCCTCATCCTCTGTTGCTCTTCTCTGCACTCTTTCCAGAATCTCAATATCTTTTCTATATCATGGAGACCAAAACTGGATGCGGTATTCCAAGTGCAGCTCCGGTGGCCCAGAGGTGGAGCTCTCACCTCACAATCAGGAGGCTGTGAGTTGGATCCTAGGTAAAGGCTAATATTCGAAATAGACTCTCCTGCTCGAGCAGGGGGTTGGACTAGATGACCTCTAAGGTCCCTTCCAACTCTGTTATTCCATGATTCTAAGTGTGGTCTTACCAAAGCATTATAAAGTGGCATTAACACTTCACTTATAGACTCCTCACATCCCGGACATAAACTGTTTCAATTCCTTCCTCAGAAAGACGCTATAGAGCACTGCACACCAGAACAACTAGACACAAGGACAGTTTTTTTTCCCAAATGCCATCACTCTGCTAAACAAAAAATTCCCTCGACACTGTCCAACTATTTACAAAGTCTGCACTACTATTACTATTAATCTTCTCATCGCTCCTTATCACCCATCCCCTCCCACTTGTGACTGTATGACTGTAACTTTGTTGCTTGTATCCTTATGATTTATATGGACTGTTTTCTAGTATGATTTGATTGCTTATTTGTACCCTATGACTATCATTAAGTGTTGTACCTGATGATTCTTGATTCTTGACGAATGTATCTTTTCTTTTTATGTACACTGAGAGCATTTGCACCAAAGACAAATTCCTTGTGTGTCCTATCCCACTTGGCCAATAAAGAATTCCAATCTATTCTATTCATATGATCTGTTAATGCAGCCTAGAACTGTGTTGGCTTTTTGGGCAGCTGCTGCACGCTGCTGGCTCATATTTAATTTCATATCATATATATTTAATACTCATATTCCAAGATCCCTCTCACTTTTATTACTATTGAGCAGGGTACCACCTATTCTATACCTAATGGGAATTAGAGAGACTCACAACTTTGCAACTAACAACAATTAAATCAACAAAAACTTAACAACAACAACAAAAATTTAAAATAATCATTAATTCATTTAAAAGATTTGTATGGCCACCCATCCAAAAGCATAATTCTGGGCTCGATCCCTTTTCTCCTATCCCTCTTATCTCTTAGAAATATCCTTTGAACCTAGTCTTAATTAACTAAGGTGTGTTTAACAACATATTGAATAACGAGAGCGGTCTTCCATCGTAGTAATCTGAATTATGATTTGAAAGCCATAAAGGATAAGTTTATGTGGCATATTAAGGCAAAGTCCTCTGATTAAGGTTAGCTTTTCCCCCCATTTTCCTCAAAAGTTTCCCTAAGTATGTTTTGTAACTGCAGAGTTGAATTGCTGTGATATACCATACTACTTTGATTAAATAGCGTTGGCAGTTTGTTACATTGTTAAAATTTGGTCCTCCATCAACTACATCTTCGATTGTTCTCCATTATCTGGGTGTTTTGGAAGTAAGAAGAAATCTGTGGAGATAATCTTTGTCGCATTTGAGATAGTTAATTTGAGCCCCAAAGGTTGATGCCTATAAAAACAGGTGGAAACGTATCTTGAAATGTGCGTAACTTAGATCTACCTTTATTATACTTTGTGAGGAGAAAAAAAAAAGTTTTGTGCTCTCTGCGAATTTTTAAATAAAAGGAAAGCAGCACTTGGTTCCCCATAGACACAGGCGGGGAGAGGCAGAAAAAAACTACTCTGATCCTTGAATATTTCTGGGGCACTAAAAACCCTATTTTATTTATTATTAAATTTATTTGCTTCCCATCTTGCTATGGAGCCAGGAGTCTTTGGCCTTCTGAAACTGAAGCTACACCTGGAGGATAATTGTACAGGTAGTGCTTGTACAGCCGGTCGCTTAGCAACCGTTCAAATATTCAAGGGACTCCCTTAAAATTAGTTACAACCCAGTTGCAAAGTTTCCCCCCCCCCGCCCATATGATCATGTGACTACATTTCAGGTGCTAGGCAACCGGCCCACATTTGCAGCCATTTCCTACCCCTATGTCCTTCAGGCCTGTTACGCCTTGTGGTTGTTGGTTGATAAAAAATAAATACATAATAGCCTGGAGTTAATTGATAAGGCCCTTGTAGCCTGTTTGACATGCAGTGTGCACCTGCACAATTGCTCTGGCTTCACCTCCCTTCAAAAGAATAGAATAGAGTAGAATGGAACGGAACAGAACAGAACAGAACAGAACAAAATTCTAAAAACTTCTACCTTTTAACCACATTTCTTAGTCGGAAAAGGGACTTATTAGATTCCTTCTGAGATTCCCCTGACACACAACGTTACCATAACCGCATTCTAAGAAAACCTAATTCTTTTTTTAAAAAATTTTTTTTTAATTTTTAAAGTGTCTCAGCCCTCTGGGCTGTGTATGTGTCTGTGTGCATTTTTGGTTAAATGAATTACTATAATAGAATAACAAGAGTTGGAAGGGAAAGAGGTGAAAGAGCCCTAGGATAACCAGCTTGGAAACAGAGATAGTTTCTACTGAGCTTGGGTGGTTTTCCTTAGACGTTTCATTACCAAACAAGGTAACGTCATCAATGCACTGATGACATTATCTAGTTTGGTATGAAACGTCTACAAGAAAACCACCAGGCTCAGAGAGCACCGAGGACCCCACAATTCAACCCTGAGCTACAAATATTCTATATTTCATTTACAGAAAGGGCATAATCTCAATAGAATGAAAAACCTTATCACCCATCCCCTCCCATTTGTGACTGTATGACTGTAACTTTGTCTCTTGTATCCTTACAATTTTTATTGACTGTTTCCTAGTATGATTTGATTGCTTATTGTACCCTAGGACTATCATTAAGTGTAAGTATTGATTCTTGACTCTTGACGAATGTAACTTTTTTAATGCATACTGAGAGTATTTACACCAAGACAAATTCCTTGTGTGTCCAGTCACACTTGTCCAATAAAGAATTCTGTTCTGTTCTGTTCTGTTCTGTTCTACTCTACTCTACTCTACTCTACTCTATTCTATTCTATTCTATCCTATCCTATTCTATTCTATAGGTAGTCCTACAGAATAACAGAGTTGGAAGGGACCTTAGAGGTCTTCTAGTCCACCCCGCTGCTCAAGCAGGAAACCTTATACCATTCCAGACAATAGTTGTCCAGTCTCTTCTTAAAACCCTCCAGTGCTGGAGCACTCAAAACTTCTTAAGGCCAGACATTCCACTGATTAATTGTTTTAATTGTCAGGAAATTTCTCCTTCATTCTAGGTTGGTTCTGTCCGTTGAGATGATCCTCGAAGTCTCCTCTTTTTTCTTTTTTTTTTTGGCGTATCTCACACTTTTTCTTCTGTTTGGTTTGTGTTCATTTAGGAGGAAGGAGCTCCCTCCGCAAATCGAGAGAGGCCAACGCGGCGTCTCCTGTAACTTGGAAGCTAACCAGCGTCCTGGCTCGGGGTTCCTCTTTGCCAATCCAGAGGGAGAAAATGTGTTTTGGATTTCAAACCAGAGTTTGAAAGAAGTGGGGGAAAGGCCGTTTAATTATTCCAGTTAGCTTAATCGGGGGAACGGGTGTTTTTTAAGAAGTGATCCCGTTCCAGATTGGTGGTTTGACAGTTCAGGGAGACATGGAGCCAAAATCTAGAAGTCCAGAAAGGGAACGTGTAAGGAAACCTTGCAGTGATGATTTTTCCAAATGCACGGGGATGGAGCACTTAGGCTGGAAGCTATCTCAAGAAATCAAACTGGAATCTTTCCGTGGGATGCAGCAACCCTGGAAAACCCAGTGGCAGGACTTCCTGAAGACCTTACCGTGTCCCCACGTGGGATGGGAGGAGGACTCCGAGATGCTGTCCAGCGTTCCTTGGGATGACCCCAAGGCCTTCCTGGCTTCCTTCGAGCAGGTGGCCCGTGCCTGCCAGTGGCCCAGGGGCGAGTGGGTGCCTCGTCTGCTGCCAGCCCTGAGTGGAGAAGCGAAGCGGGCTTTCAGCGGCTTAGAAGCAAAGGACAAGGAGGATTATGGGAAAGTGAAGGAGGCCATCTTGAGAGGGGAAGCCATTCGGATCGAAGTGCAGCGGCAGCACTTCCGGCAGTTCCGCTTCCAGGAGATCGAAGACCCACGTAGGGTTTACGGACAACTGCAGAGGCTTTGCCGCCAGTGGTTGAAGCCAGAGAGACACACCAAGGAGCAGATCCTGGAGCTGCTGATCCTGGAGCAGTTCCTGGCCAGCCTCCCACCGGAGCTCCAGAGCTGGATCCGACCAGGAGGATCGGACACGTATTCCCAGGCGGCGGCTCTGATAGAGAATTTCCTGCTGAACCGGCAGGAGGTTAAGGTAGGAAAGTGGCCGGTCTGTAATATTTGAAGCTCTCTGCAGGACAGGTGAATTAAGTGTCAGTACAGGTTGTCTGTCATCATTCTGAGTAACTCATCCACCAAAATCACCACTCTGAGGCAGGTAGATTCCTCAGAGAACGTGTTCATTGCAACCTTCTATTTTTATCCATCCATCCATCCATCCATCTATGTGACATCATCACAAAAACTCCAGAACCATAAAAGCCTACAAACTTGAAATTTGGCACATATGTTCCTCTTGGCTTCTAGGTGCTCACTAAGAAAGGATTTTTCGAAATGACCCTCAGAGCATTAATATTTCATATATTATTATTATTAACACACTCTGATGCTAAGGAGTTCTACTCTCCCTTCCCACCTGAAAGGAAACCTGTTCCAAATGCAAAACGCAAGCAGAGCAGAGGAGTTTCAGTTTCACAGCACCAAGTAGTAGCTTTAGTACAAAACAGTTGAGCTAAGCCACGCCCAGGCTCCTTGCTGTCTCCTGGTTCACACAACAAATACTGCTTCAGTTTCCAAACAGCCCTCTACTCTCTCACACACTGACAGGATTTTAGCCAGATGAATACTGATGGATGCTGATAAGGCAGAGGCAGAATTTTTCCCCCTTATTTTCCTCCCTCAAAACTAAGCATGATCACATAGTTTTGTAATGAAGCAGGATACAGAGCTAGGACATACATATACGTGTTAGGCACATACCAGGTAAGCAATCAATCTTCATTACTATGCACAGAGAACTACATTGGAGATGTAGTTTCCTTGGACACCAGGAGAGAGAGATAGACCCTCTTACGGCCTCCCTTACATAGACAGCTTCTTAAAGCAGCAATATCCTGCTGGTTCAATTCTCGTTGCATCAGCATTTAGAGCGGCTGGTCATCTCTTAAATCTTCAATACCAGAGAGCGGGTACATACTACAGAGTGAGACCGTATTGAATGTGTAGGGAGGGTGTTGCAGCACAACCGTTTGCTACGGAGTATTCTGCAACAGGGCCCCTCAGGAGAAAGGCAGCGGGTGCAACTTGCGGTCTTTTCCACATTGATTTTGCTCGTGAGTAGGTGGCAAGGAAGGTTGCAGATGGTGACCACATGACCATAGGGCCCTGCGGGCATTGTAAGGGTGAGCCAGTTGCCAACTGGTTTCATTCGTCGCAATTTCAAGCAGTCGCTGAACGAATGGCCGTTAACCGGGGACCACCTGTAAGAGTAGACCGTCGGCGCTCAGTTTTGGCAGAATGGTTCATGCTTTGGCTTCATTCTCCCGGCCTGATCCAAAATGGGATTCTCCTCTCTTGTTTAGGAGCCGTCGCAGGAGGTGATCGCCAAGACTGCCCTGTCCGAAGAGCGGATTGCCTTGGATGTTGACCAGGAAGCGATCTATAAAGACATTAAGCAGGACAATCACGGAGGGATCCATTTGTTGGGTGAGGAAATGCCAAGGATTAAAGCAGGGTCTTCCATCATGGGTGTGGGAAGGTGGGTGGGTCCCCAAAAAGTCAAGATGGCCTTCCTCAAGGAACAGTGGCTGCCTTCAGATCGCACTGCGGTGTCCCACTCACTCACACGCACACTTAAACGGTGGTTTTTGTGGGTTTATCTTGTCTAGGAAACTCAAGGGCCTTGTGGACTCATTGGCTATTGCTCTGTGGGCTAGCATTGGTCTGCTTTTGTCTGGACGTAGTCCGGACCAGCGGTCACCAACTGGTGGTTCATAGACCACTGCTGCTTAGCTCTAACCACTACTTCCTGTTGGGGCCTTAAGGAGCCCAGGCGGGCATGCGAGGAGAGGCTGAGAGGGGAGGGGCGTGTAGAGGCCAGCGAGGCGCCCCTCGAACATGAGTGACATCGAGTTGGCCACACCCTCCCAGTCACATGACCACCTAGCCACACCCATCCAGCCAGTTCTTAGGCAGATCATATTAACGGTCCACCAGATTTAAAATTATGAATTTAGTGGTCCTTCAGGTCCAAAAGGCTGGTGACCCATGGTCTGGACAGTTCTGGGTTTTTGGTGAAGGGAATTGACGGGGAATGTTAATAAACCTGCTTGCAGTGGCCTAGAGGTAGAGCTCTCGCCTCACAATCAGGAGGCTGTGAGTTCGATCCTAGGTAGAGGCAGATATTATTTCTCCGGGCACACTGAGAATATATCTGCTAAACAAAACTCCGCATTGGTGACAGGAAAGGCACCCGGCCATTAACGCCCTCTGCTAGCTCAATTCTGTTGCCCAGACTCCATCCTGCAAGGGATTGTGGGGTCATTAAATGAAGATGATGATGATTAATAAACCCACTGAACCATCATTACGTGTGCCTGTGGATTAGCACGACAGCACACACACACACGCACACAGACCACTATTCCAGTTTGTCCAGCTTTGGGTTGTCACAATGTGTGAATCCTATTTCAGGCAATTTATTTTTTTAAAAAAGTATACAAGGCTCAGGGTATTGTGCTAATGAGTCAGTGTTAGAAATAAAGTATTATTTTATAAGCCTTAACTTTAACCTTGGTTAAGAAGCCAAGGCTTAACCCTCTATTTGAACCAAGTAGTGGGAATGTGTTTGGGTGTCTATGTAGCTGGGGGGTGGGGGGGATGAGTGTGTCTCTTGAAATTATTAAAGAGAGTTGGAAGTTTTAATGATTTTCTAAGAATATAGAACAGAATATAGAATAGAGTACAGTAGAACAGAAATAGAATAGAATATAG